GGAGTGGACAGAAAAGAGGGTGAGAATGGGCTGGCCGTTCTTCTATTATTCCCCCTCACTCTCTCCACTGCGCGATTGCTGCTCCTTGTTCCTTCATTTCGAATATCATCATCACCGAGCGATGCGTCGCGGATAAGAACGGCGATGGTAGGGGGGCAGCCTTGGAGAAAGTAAGAACGAGAATGAAAACGAACTTTTCGGAGAGGCGCGGAAGTAAGGCAAGGAGAAAAATGCAGCGAAAGCTGCAAAAAAAGAGTAATAGGGGTTGGCTGCGGTCTTGGACCCAACTATGTAGTAGCCAATGCATGCATTTTAGCTGGGACCAGGTCAGGGCCACAAGCGAAAAGTTGTGTGCAAGTTGGAAGAACGCAAAATGGGATGGAAAGGCGACGGAAAAGACCAGCAGTTCCCCCCTCCATAGTCCACAACAACTGGAGGCATCAAAGCCGTGCTGAATGACAGCTAAAGTCACGCGGAGGAGGTGTCCCACACCAACTTGGTGTGCGGCTGGAGATGGCCCGGAGGCGGCCTAGAGGCGGGATGGTGACGGCGGTGGACTAAACTGGACTGGGGGCGTGGCGCCGCGTGGCACCGCGTGGCAGGCGGGGTGACTGCGACCCTTTGTGGAGGCAGCACTCCATTTCCAGCAATCACCGGTATCCAGACACCCTCCGTCCTCTCACCCCTTCTCTGTCCTTCTGCTCTCCCCTCTCCCTCTTCTCTCTCTTTTCAACAACTCTTCAAATCTTCGAGATTTCCCAAATGACAGCTCTGTGTCACAGCGCACTTGCTTTGGACATCGCCCTGAACCAAACAGGAAGAGGCCTATTCAAGGCAATCGCTTTGAGGAACAGCAGGTTAGAATAATGTTTCGAAAATGAGTAGGACCAAGTATTATTGGCAGATCTCCAAATATTTTTAATTTTATACCTTTTTTCCCTCTTTACTCCTTAACAGACTTCTCTACGGCATACCAGTATTAAGCCAGCCTACTTTATTTTATCGTACTTCTTGCCCCCTTCCCTTTTTTACTTGCACGGAATATCACTAACAAGTTCCACACTGGTACTCGAACCAGGGGCGCACCTCTGCGCCCCAACTTCCAAAGCGAGCGGGGCAAAGTTAGCCTGGCCGCGTGGATGGTTCGGAAAAAGAAAAGAAGAAGAAGAAAGAGATGCGCGGACGTGAGCGGCTGGTGGGTGCGTACTCTCATCATCCCCTTTTGGCGAGGAGGGTTGAGAAGAGCGGGGTGGGGCGGGCAGGGCGTTCCCAGGGGGCGGCGATGAGAAACTCACAGGTCAGCAAAGGCGGTGCATGGTAACGCCGCACAGCAGAGATTTCTCGAGTTCGCAAGTCAAACTCAGGTGGACCAACTCGGTGAGAGAGGCCAGGGCCGGCGGCCAGCGTCCGGGCCAGAGAGGGTGCGGGTGCGGTGCAACCTCCCTACACTGTCAATATTTGAGCATCCCTTTCAGCAACTTGTGAGCGTGGAGCGAGAGAGAGAGGGG